TCATCTTCCTCCTCTTCTTCCCATTGCTTTTAATAACTCTTTTGTGTCTATCCACATTTTCACATGTATTTACCATCCCTGCCACCTTGGGCCACTTGTGTCTTATTGTCTTGTCTGTGATTGCAATTGATTCTGTTGTGCAAGATGTTAAGGAACTGTGTTCTTGCTGTGCTCATGTTAATTAATTGTCTTTTTTTTTTTTTTTTTGATAGGTCACCCTGTAACCCCAGCTGGGCTGGAAGTTGCTATGTAGAGCAGGTTGGCCTTGAACCCACAGAGATCTGCCTGCCTCTGTCTCCAGAGTGCTAGCACTACTTGCGTTATCATTTTTTAAATTTATTTTTTGTTGATTCCAAAATGTCATGCAATGCATTTTGGTCATATTTATAACCCCTTCCCCTCTCCCCGCCCACCATACCCCCTCTGACTTCATGTTCTCCACTATTATCTGTACTTTTTCAAATATTTATTTATTTATGCATCTTTGTTTTTAATGGCTTATCAATTCCATCGTGCACCTCTCACCCACTTCTAGATCTGGGTCCATGCCCTGGAGTCTAGTCAACCTACCAGGCCTCTTCCTGCCCACCTCCCCCACCTTTCCTCAGCCTCTATTACCTAGAAGTGTCTTCCAATCACTATGCCAGCAAGCTATAGTCACACCTCCTTCCCATACTCCTCGAAAGGAATGTGGGGAGGAGTCAGCATGTCTTGCCATTTTGGGCAGCTCTCGGGAAGTCACAGGATCTATGTTTGAGTGTGGACTTTCCAGTGCAGCCATAAATGAGGCAGGGTGGGGGTGGGGGGGTGGGGGGTGGTCACCCACTCTTCTGTGAGTAAACCCATATCCTATGCTCTGTTAATAAGCCCAATAAACTTGTTAGGATTTTCCAAAAGGCGGTTTTAGAGAATTCTTGCCTCCGGTTGTGGTAAGGATGGTGGGAGGAGGAAACTGGATACCTCCCGGCAGTAATTTTCAGTACAGCCTCCATTTGTCTTGGATGTGCACAAGTCTTGTGCATGCTGTCATAAGTGTTGTGAGTTCATAAGTGCAACTGTCCTGTTATGTCCTGAAAACATGGTTTTCTTCTATTCATCTGCCACCTCTGACTCTTTCTGCCCCCTTTTCCATTGTGATCCCTGAGCCTTGGGAACAGAGGGTGTGATATAGGTGTCCCATTTAGGACTGAGCACTCCACAATCTCTTACTCTCTGCACGTTGATCATTTGTGGGTCTCTGTTAATCACCATCTGCTGTCAGAAGAAACTTTTGTGGTGAGAATTGAGAGATGCTGTAATCTGTGGATAAAACAATTAGTTATTATGTCTATTTAGCAGAATGATAGTAGTAATTTCTCCCCTATGGCCTGTGATTTGTCTAGACACAGGTTCTCATCCTGGTAACACTGTCAGGTTTTTTGTTTTCTTAAGTGAGGACTGGACTTTGAACACCATAGGCAAGTGCTTTACCATTGAGCTATATCCCCACTCCAACTCTCAATAAATTCTTAAAGTGAATGTCATTTTACATACTAATGGCATGTGATTAAAATTTCACATCTGTGTAGATGTTCCACATACATACAAGGAAAGATCTTGTGTGAACTCCTTGGATTAAAACTAAGCTTGGGGGATTTCCACAGTGTTGGAGGACTTGTGTTTTGTTCTTCGGCTAAACAGTTATTTCGGAGGGCCTTAGTCAATAACAAAGAGTCAGTGAGTCAACCAAATTATTCTTTTTTCCTACCAAATGCCTGACCTAATATAGAACAGAAAACTGACTTCCTCAGTCTGGAAAATCCTTTTTTTTCTCTTGTTGGTTGTTGTTTTCGAAACACACTGAAAACAACTCCAAACACAACAGTAAGTTCGGATGTGGTCATCTTCAAGTACACTGGGTGTTAAACCAGCAGCCCAGCAAGGAAAGTGAAGATTGCTGTGAAAGCGATGCCCGGTGTTCAGATCTGCCCACATCACTGGGGGAACTCTGTATGTCTAAAAGACTGCCCGGGGCAATCTGTAATAAACTCAAATGTCTCAGTGTTTCCTCTGAGATAGGAAATGGTGTGCATATTTCCTGACTATGCAGGTAGTCTTTTAACTTCAAAGTCTAGGGTGGAGCAATAGTAAATCAGTCTTCAAAACTACTTTGTTCATGTGTGCTTATAATGGGACTTTAAAGGTAAATTTTTTTGTCATTTTGCCTGTCTTTTTTTTACTTTGTGCTGTAATTTTAACTTCACTCATAATTAGGAGACAGTGATTTGTAGACTGCTTCCTAACAGCTCTAAATTCCTGTCTTAGTTTTAAATTAATTTAACTCTATTTACAAATTTGAGGGTATTGGAGGTGCCTCTCTAATTTTGAAGTTCTTTTTAAAATATTTTATTTATTATTTTTATTTTATGTGTATGTTGCCCACATGTGTGGAAGTGTACTTGTGTTGTACAATGCCTGGGAGGTCAGAAGAGGGCGTTAGATTCCCTGGTAACTAGAGTTAGAGACAGTTGTTAGGTGCCATTGGGTACTGGGAACTGAACCCAGGTCCTCTGCAAGAGCAGCCAGTGCTCTTAACTGCTGAGTCATCTCTCCAGCTCCTAACTTTGAAGTTCTATCCAATGTCTCCTAAATATAATTTTTACCATCAAAGTAAAAGAAAAAAAAAATCTAGAAAACTTAAAAACATTTGGGCTGGACTAGGTATATAACTCAGTGGTAGAATGCTTACTTAGCTTGCACAAGAGCCTGGCTTCAATCTCCAGCACTGGAAAATAAAATAAAAACTAAATAAAATATAATTGGGAGGTGGGGGAAGGCAGTAAGCAAGGGGAGTAAGAACAAAGTAGAATGATGTGCATGTATGAAAATGTCACAATGAAACCCATTTTTTTAAAATCTTGTTTGCTTTATTTTGAATTCCTAAAGTTCACAAAAGCTTACACTATGTTTCCCCACATTGATCGTCAAGGCTTTATGGTAAGACAATGAAAATGTTATCACACCAATTAGGTGTACTAAAAAGAATGGGTCATTTACAAAGACGGCTCTTTAATCAAGGTCATTTTACAAAATACATAGTCTAGTACACATCTGAATTTATCTGCCCTAAAGTGAAACTTTAAAAGGCATTTTATAAAGGAAAAACCAAATGAACACTTAACACTGACAAGCCTAGCAGAATAATGCTGACGGCATATCAACAGCTTTAAGTGCGGACTGTAACCTGAGGGACGAGGAAGAGATCATCTGTTGAAACTACATCTAAATGCATCTATCAGTAAGATTCTCTTTTTAATGGATTTCTACCAAATGAATATACCTCTGGTAATTTCTGAAATATTACATGTAAACTTGTTAACATCTTGATTAAACTGAATTCTGGGATTAAAATGTTTAAGAAAAGAAAAATAGTGGAAGGAAAAATAGCATCAGTACCTTCTTCAGGCTTTCTAAAGTGACTGGCAATTAATCACTGTCTACATTAAGGAAGAGCATGTTTTAGAATATATGTATAGACTCTCAATGCCAAGAATAAAAAATTCAAGGTATTCTCTCTTAGGAAACTTAAAAAAAATGTCCTCAAGTTTTTAATTTGCAGAATGGCATAATACATATTTTCCTATATTCATTAGATGAATCATTAAAATCATTTATACTGCTATTTCTACTTTTAGTATCATCTGTATATCCTTTGGGTTACCACTGCAGATAGTGCAGACAGAGGCCATGAAAAGTAAAGACAGGCATGGTGGCTCACACTTGTACTCCTAACCCTCAGGAAGCTGAGGCAGGAGACTCATGGGTTAAAGGCCAGTATGGGCCAGGCTATATGGAAAGCTTGAGACCAGTCTGGGCTATATAGTAAGGCTCTGTCTTAAAAAAAAAACTAAATAGTAAAAAAAGACAAAAGTGAACGGAAATGAAAAAAGCATGCTAGGAGTGGTGGCACACACCTTTCACGTCCCTTTAACTGGGAAGGCAGAGGCCGGGGAGCTTTATGAGTTCCAGGCCCACCTGGTCTACACTGAAAGACCCTGTCTTATTAAACAAAGAATACCAAAAGCAAGAACAAAACAAAAACAAACCCAAACAAACAAACCAGTGAGGATGGGGGCTAATGAGATGGGGCAGTAATGGAAACCATGATTCTTAAGGGAACTAATGCCCAGATGATGTGTTTGAGTTCATATCACTGTGCCAATGGAAGGAGCCTGAAGTGAGTAGGCCCCCCAGGGGCCCTTGTGACTGGCTTGCTGTGGTTGCGGAACGCTGGCCTCCTGCATTTCTGCTTTGCTTCTTTCTAGATAGAACTTGTGAGAAGCTGAGATGCTCTAAACGTCCACATAACAAAGAGCTCAGATTACAGAAGTGAACAGAACACCATGTAAATGGCTTGCCATGGACATGTCACCAGCTCTCTTTTGTTGATGGAGTGGGGCCTACTGAAAAACAACACTCCAATGCTTTCGTGTATTGCGTTTTTTCCTCTATGCTCAGATTGAAAATGTCCCACGTGTTCATCTCAGATGACCCTTCTACTGCTCGGATCTACACCACTGTCTAGACCTGCACACGGAGACGGCAGCCAGAGCTGAGGCGCACTTTAGCAGAAGAGTGCACAGAGCTTGCTCACTGTGTGGGAAGATCTTACCCTAACATGCCCTTTAGAGAGTTTAAGTGCTTTTTAAAATAACTGAGTAAGAATTATTCTCTAATATACCGAAGTTCTAAATCATGAAGACAGTACACTCTGACATTAACAGTTACAAATGGAAATAAAGCAAGCAGCAAGCCAATTAAATAGAAATTGGAAACCATTTTCACATGATATCGTTCTCTGTGAAATCAGACTTCTCACCTTAGGTGGATGCTCTCTAACCACATTACACTCACATGACCAGATGATCACACACTATGGAAGACCATAGAACACAGCTGAGTTCAGAAAGCTCCCCAAAACTGCTCTTTCAAACCCTAAAAAATTAACTGACCATTATTTTTTGGAGGGTGTGTGAGTATGGGCCAGAAGATTCTATATGTAGGAAAAAAATGTGAATTAATATATTTTAAAGACTGTTTTAGACATCTATTTGACACTGGAAATGTAGTCAGCTATCATAAAGTATTTCTTCTCTTCATCACAAAATAGTAACGATTTACATAATTGAACGGGCATAAAATCTAGAAACATTTTTATTTTGTTGGCTTGGGCACTAATTCTTCTAAAAAGGCTCTCCAAAATCTTGAGTAGAACTATCATACTCCGCAATGAAATGCTCGAGTTCTTCAACACACCGCTCACCTATTTCATGCAAGTTCTGCCTCAGCGCAAACTGTATAGATTTTTCTAAGGAAGGATCTTTCTCAATCAGCATTTTCACCACCATCCCGGAAGTTTCACAGTCTTGTCGGTAAACCTGTTCAATCTCTTTAGTTTTTGATGCTATTGCTTTAGAGCGACTGTCCAGCTGACTGTCTTCAAACAATTCTGGTCCATCTGCTGTGTTTGACTCGGGTTCTTCTGTCTGATCAATAAATGAAGGTGCTGTGGCTCCGGTCTCAAACTCAGAGACTTCAGCCCACTTGCTTGCAGCCTCAGCAAGTTCCTTTTCAGTTAGCCTACTTGGTTTGTCTAATGCCTTGGATGCAGAAATTGCTGAAGAACTTGAAGGTGAAGTATCTCTTGATGTTTTCAAAGACTGGACGGGCCTCTCTTTACTTCTGTGCAGAGACTGATGGAAGGAGTAGGTCTTGCGTTCTGGAGAATAGCTTTGACTGCTGACACTGGAGCCAGATCTGCTGTGTGGGGAGTCCTTCCGGCCTACAGGTGATTCTCCGAAAAAAGGAGCATCCCTTTTATGGGGAGACTGTTCTCTCGAATAATGGGACGAGTAGAAGCCTTTTCTTCTAAAGCCATCTCTCATGTCCCTATACACAGGCTGTCGGCTTGCAGAATGATCATCTCTTGTCCATCTATAGCCAGATTCATCTCCTCTGTGAGATGGACCACTTCTTCGATCATGAGAAAAACTGCGGCCCTCATCATAGTCTCGGTAATCAACATGACTGTAATATCTACTGTAGCTTCCTTCATCAGGTCTTTCTAGCAGTGGTGGCCTCTTTTCTAGCAGTGGTAGTCTCTTTGGCACAATATTAACTAGTCTATGGTAGCCATCACTGGGGTGAGTCCGAGGAGGAAATCGCTCTCTTGGAAGTTGTTCGTAGTCATATTGTCCCTCAGACCACATTTCATCACTTGTGCAAGCCGCTACACTCTGCCGCCGCCGAGCACCGCGAAGGTACTGAAACCCATTTTTATGTGCTAACTAAAACGTTAATGTAAAACATCTTAAAATAATTTGGAGTACTGGTGGTTTTTGATCATTTATTATATTAAATATAAGCTTTCTATACTATTATTATGAATTGAGAGCTCTAACATAACCATAATGTGGTATTATGAAAGTCAAAATCTGGAGCTGGAGATGGTTCAGTGGGTCAGAGCACTTGTTCTTCCAGAGAGCCTGGTTCCAGGACCCACATTAGGTGACTCACAACCACCTGTAACTCCAGCTCCAGGGGACCCCTTATGGCCTCCATGGGCACCTGCACAAACATGGCATACACACAGAGACACATACATTTTTTAAAATCTTTGAAAAGTAAAAATCTATTTGTGAATCTAATTTATTTTAGGAATGCCTCAAATTTACACAAGACTTTAAAATTGTTCATATAATAATCAAGAGAGGAAAAAGAAGCATTTTTCTTTGTTAATATATTCTTCTTAAGTGGGTGATAGAGCCACATTTGTAAGGGCTGGGGTCTTGATAGGTAGGGGGACCCCTGGGCAGGTCTTGTTATCCAGTAGATCTGCCTGGCAGCTATTTCAGAGCAGGTTTCCTGGTGAGTGCTGTAGAGGACCAGGGGACTGCTTCATCTTTAACGCTTAATTCATCAGTTAGATGACTGTGGCTCCATGTAAAAGTTAACTGTTGACTACACTCCAAGATGCTCTCAAATGGAAAAGGAAGTCTTTTATCCAAATTCTGCCTGCTAAGATGAAAGTTTATAGACTGGAGGAAGCTGTTGGACTTTGTCTCAGTGGGTTCATCCCTTCGGTCATCCATACTATCCATCAGCAGAGCCGTGTAGTAAACGCTTGTGAGAAACACTCTATGTTGAAGGGCATAGCTTAGTGCTCCCTAGAACATACAGCTCAGGTCAGGCTGTTTGGAGTACTGTCATGAGTACCCAGAGCAAAATAACTAGGAAAAGATCAAGAATAATAGCAGTGGTGTCAGGGGAAGAGTTGGCTTAGTATTCTTGGCAAACCTCCCAAGAGAGGATGTAACGGTTACTTGGGAGCTGTCCCCTGCCTTCCCTGTCTTGGTAAGTGCTACTATCATCTACCCAGCTTCACCAAATGGAGAAGGTGATGTCATTCTGGATCTCTCTTCATCTAGCGACTCATCTACTCTACCTTCTAAATTCTTCCTTGGGACTTGAACTGGAACGTATAACTAATTTGGTAAATTAGTTTTCCCGTTGTAATTTTTCCCCAAACTGAAAATCTCTAGGTGAAGTAGAAACAGGATACTTCAGACACTGTGACCCATGAGGAAAAATACTGATTTAATAAGCTTTACCCACATTTAGAAGTGTAGAGCTGAATATACAATATCTGGAAGATCTGAAGATACAGCAGGATGCCTTCTATCAACTGTAATTTTCTAGAAGTGTTGCTTAGGCTAAGGCTTCTTGTTCAGGCTGGAGTGTCTGGTTTGAATCTTGTTTCAAATCCAAGACTCCTGTAGTACTTGCCAGGAGTTTCCATAGAGGGTCTTCCTCAATCACCCTTCACTTTAGTTCTTGAAAAGCGTCTGTAACTGAACCTGGTTTTGGTTAGACTGGCTGGCCAGCAAGCCCCAGGGATCCTTCTATTTCTGCCTCCTCCGAACTGGGATGGCAGCCATGTTTCTATTTTTTGTTCTTTTTAAACATGGTTATGGGGAGTGAACTCAGGTCTTTATGCTTATGTGGTGTGCACTTCGCTGACTGACCTTTCTCTTCAGTCCCCTGTGTGTGCATTAAATAATAACCCATCAACTCCAGTTCGTGCTGCCTGTATACTCATGGCCGTGAGACCATCCACTGGAGCACAGTCTACCTACCAGGAGACACACTCTTAAAGAAAGATGACTCTCTCTCCCCCAAATGACATCAACTGTCCATAGTTCCTCAGTTAGTTATGGAGGCTCATAAACTCCTTCCCATTCCACACTAGAATGTTCGCCATCTTGGTCTTGTACAGACAGCCACAGCTGCTATGAGGTCATGAGTGCAGTGGGTGAAGTAGTTCTGTCATAACCAGGAGACACAACCCCTGGACCTTACAATCATTCTGCACCCCTATTCCACAATGGCCCCTGAGCTTTGGGGAGAGGGAGTGTGATCTAGATGTCCTATTTGTGGCTGAGCACTCTGTAGTCACTTATTCTCTGTACTCTAACCAGTTGTGAATTTCTGCATTAATCAGTAGCCACTGAACAAAGAAGGTCCTTTGATGAAGAAGTCTGATAGCTGCATTAATCTATGGGTAGAAAGATATTTATTTAGAGGACAGTTTGATCCTATATCCCTTTCGCAGAATAATACTAGTAGGTCCCCCCTGGAGCCTGTGAGCTCCCCAACCATGGATGCTTGGGTAGAGCTGCAGTACCAGCCATGTTTCCTCCTGTGGGTAATCCAATCTGAAAGTGCTGGCTCCCCATAACATTCGCATATGTACATTTTTCATAATTGTCTATGGCCAAATTTTGTGAAGACAGATGTTAAATTGAAAACTGTCCCTGTACTCGAGGAACTTACGTACAAAGGGATGGATTTGAATAACAGTCGAATGATAAATAAAACTTTTTAAATGCTCTCTTGATTTTGTTGACAATGGAAGAACAATGCAAGATGCACATTCCTATTTGCTGAACTAAACACTGTTAACAATAGCATGACCTCACTCCACAGGTTCATGCGATCAACATGGATGCCAAGTTTTGTTTAAAAGCTTTTGCATTCTTGGGGCAGAGTGTACAATACCACTGGTGGTGTGGGAAAACCTAACAGCAGTTATCAGATCTCAAAGGCCCTTTCTTGTTTATTACTTACTGGTGGGAGGGGATGCTGATGTTAAACTTCATACGTTTGTGTGAAATAGGGCTCGTCCTTCAAAGGCTCTTTTCATGTAGTACCATTGGGAACCTTTTCCTGTAGACAGGACAAAGTCTTGTCACCATTTGCACTTTGACAAGGACACGGCAGATACTGCTGTCAGGATATGGAAAGTTACAGGGAAAATACTGAGGGAGCACAGTTGTTCATCTGCATGTATAGTGAAGGATCATGGGATGATCTGTGTTATTTTCCAGGATATTTGAATAGTGCTTCACTGGAGAATGTGTTTTTATTAACTCAAGCTGATTATTTCTTAGCAAGAGAAGCAACTTATTATTTTTTTTCTTTAAACATACCGGGAATTGGGCAATTCGTATTGACACACTTCCAATTTCTGCAATTTCATGAGCTCTAGGTGAATAAAAATGCTGGCTGTGGGTGAAGCTAGCACCTTATCCTCTACACTGAGCACGCAGCAGCAGAATTCAGAGCTGACAATGTATCCAGTGGGAGAAACTATTAGTGTAAATTCAGGCATTGTGTTTCTTGTCTCCTACAAATAGCAAAATTGTAGATGAAGTGGACTATGATGAAGTCATTGCTGGGACCACTCAGAATATAAAGTTTTAATAAACTTGCATCCAAGTTGAAGACTGAATAGTACAGGGTTGGGACATGACTGGAATTTAATCAAAGAGTTCTGATAACCTTGGCCTCCTTAGACAAGATGATGAAAGGTGTCTCTGTCTACAGAAATGTGCATAGAATGCTAGTTATGATAGTATGATGAGTCAGAATCTAACCTCAAGAGTGTAAAGCTAAAGACCTATGATGAAGAATTATTCCCATTTTCAGAGGCTTGCATGTCTCACTATTAGCAGTTAGTTGTCCTGGTAAAGGATTAAACTCTAAGGAGCCTCATTGGATCTCTCTTACCAAACCTCAACTTTATTAGTCTAACATTTGAAGAAAGAGGTCTGTGTTTGGTCAAGTCCTAAAATCAACTTCACTTTAGCTGGTTAAATTAAATATCAAATAAATTAAATATCCATTTTATCTCTTAAAGAAGATTAATGGTATAGATAGTCTGAAAGACTTGGAAAAAAATATGAAGATTTGGGGGCCTGGTGAGATGGCTCAGTTGGTACAGGTGCTTGCTGCCAAGTCTCATGACCTGAATATTTGATCCCCAGGACCCATGTGGTAGAAGGAGAAAATCAACTCCTGTAATTTGCGGTCTGACCTACACACACACACACACACACACACACACACACAACACAGGCTGAGGCATGTGTGTGTGCCTCCTCCTGATGAATGTAATAATTTTTTTAAATTGAAGATTTAAAACAATTCATTTTGCTTTTCTTGATGCACTGCTTAATCGAGGGCCCTGATACCAGGTGACTCGGGTGTCTTCTGGGCTCTGACTGTCATACCCAAGGGCTTGACATATTGCATTAAATAAAATATGGTGGCAAGATCAGTGTTTAGCACTTTGGGTCACCCGAATATTATAGTCAGAGCACGTTGAACAGTTGTGCAGAGTGAGGCCCATGTTCAGTTGCTCCACAGATGCTAGATCCTTCTATCTTACATCTTCTGTAGTGGGACCTCACCCCAGGCGTTTGCAGAACAGTATGAAGCGTTGCTTTGGCACTAACTGAACATGGATGAAATCAAAACAAGAATACAAGGTCATTGATGGCTTCAGGGTCAGATGCCAGGCACCGTTCAGGAGGCATCTTTTTGATTTCCCGAGCTGAATTTTGATTAGGCTGTCTCCTGCGGCTCTTGTGTTCTTTATCTGGACCCCTTCTGTTATTGTTTTGCATCCATACAAACAAAACTAGGAAACCTTTGAGTAAGCAGCCTGAGTATTTTCCTGAGAGGAATCTTAACTTCATTTTTTATCTTAGTTTCCTTGAGAGCTGCTTAGATACATTTAATCTTATGTGTTTGGCAGAAGATAAATTTTTAAAAAAGCTTTTACTAGGAATTTTTCTACATATTCAAGCATAGAATGTTATGCGGGAACATCTGTGCAAACTACGCATCCCTGTGGAACTGCACTGAG